CTCTTGTATTAGTAATGCTTTTGTGTATGCAAGAAATCTTTTCCTGCCTTAAAATGAAGATAATCTGTACTTTATTCTACATGCTTTCTTGTTTTGCCTTTTACATTTGAGTCTATAATTCCCCTGACTGGATGGTATGAAATAGGATCAGGCATCTTTCCTTCCCCGCATGGTTATCAAATTGGCCCAGCACCCTTGTAGAAGAGATGTGTCTCTAGTACCCTGCAGCAATGCCCACTCCCCCTCATCTGTTCATCTTTGTGACGGCCCATTTGTAATGTAGGTAGAGCAGGTTTTCCTTCTAGTGATTACTTCTGGAAGTGAAATGCTTTGCACCGTAAAATATCATGGTGTCTTAAAATGTGCTGTCTTAAAGTAAATCTCTGTTACTGCACGTGAGCCCTGTGAGTTAGGTAACTTAGCCTGGTTCTGGTTCTCTGATGCAGCTGCAGTCACCTGAAGGCTTGACTTGGGCTGGAGGAGTTAATTCTAAGACTGGCTCGTTCTCATGACCAGCATGAGGCCTCAATTCCATGTACTGTATACCTCTCCTCGGTACTGTGTGATTGCCCTTACATTGTGGTTCATTTCCACTAAGCCAGAAGAGAGAATGTCAACTTCTTTTATGACCTTGTGTTGAAAGACACACACTGTCATGTATGCAGCATTCTATTGGTTATCCATATTCAGAATGGAAGAGGACTCCATAAGGCAGTATAGGTGAGACTCACTATGGAGTGGATTCTAACTCATGGCAACCCCATGCACGCAAAAAGGAGCTGCTCCATTGGATGGTCAGATGCAGGTCACCAGCCTGGCTTCATGGAACCTGTGGGTGGGTTTGAACTGCTAACCTTTCATTTAGTAGTCCAGTGCTTCACCACTTGCACCAAGTATTGGCTCTTTAGAGGCTGGCTACTGCACAGAAGTAGAGGAAGCTGGCTAGCATCTTTTGTTTTACATCTTTGTCTGGGTACCTTATTTCTATTTTTGGTTTTTATCTGAGAACCTTCATTTTCCAAGGTAGAAAGTCATGCTGCTTTTACAGCTGAGGTTTCCTTGTGTGCCAACACCCACCACCCACCCCCACCCGCACCCCCCACGACACCCCCTCCCCAACCACCTACACAGTTGTAGGAAAGCTCCTCTTGAATAACACATTCAAAACTCATGTGTCCATATTGTTTTATGTGTCGGTAGTTTTCCATTTTGTGTGATGGAGCCCTTCTCAGCTGAAACCTCTGGACCCCTTTGTAGATATTTATTACCTGGACACTGTATTCATAGAATGGAGAGGGGAGATGCTGAAGTTGAGAGGTCATATAGAATCTACTGTGAGCCTTTTTTCTCTCTCCTCTTCTTACTGCCCTTTCTTCCTACATGAAAGTTTACTTATCGTTTTTATTATATTTATTAGTTTGCATAAATTAACATATGGATCACATGAGGAAAAAATAATCAACAGATCTTCACAGAGTCCCCTTCTGTGCTAAGCTCTCTGGCAAAAAAGACCCTGGCCACACAGGCCCCAAAGCTCAAGATGTTCACATGTAAGCAAATGAAACACCAAACCCAGGTAGGAGCATGGGCGGGGGTGGGGCCGGGCAGGGACTCCAGAGTCAGGATGGCATACTTGGTTATCAGAAAGTAACTGTAGGAGCCCTGCCTCTGTCCAGGTGAGCTGGGGAAGGCCACCCAGAACTGATGTATCTGGAAGTGGCACCGCCTGCGGAGTTTACAGCTAGATGATGTAAGAGGAAAGGCACTTTAGACGGTTTATGCAAAGACATGAAATTATGAGGCCCATTAGGATAATAAGAAGTAACTTACACTGTAGAGTAAGCACTGAGTGACTAGTTGTTGGGTGGATGGTTAAATGACAGGGAGGAAGCAAGGAAGGAAAGAGGGAGAAAAGAAACAAGGGAAGGAGGAGACATAAATGAGGCGATAGAGGTAAGAAAAGTTTGGTGAAAACGAAGAGCCTTGCTCAGTAACAGTTCCCGAAATTCAAAGAGGAGGAGAAGAGGGTATGTTTGCACAGCCTACTTGGGAAGAAGCAAAAAAGTACAAAATTACCTGTAATCTATTCTACATGAAAAATACAGACGAAATGTCATGGAAATTCCACGGGAGTCATTTCAGTGGAACGAACCTGGAGCTACTGTACTTTTTGGGGTTGCTTTTGCTTGGTTCTGAATTATTTGGTCCCAGAAAACATGAAGTTGGAGAGAAGGTGTTGGGCAGGAAAGATGTGAATTGGGGACTGTTCTAGACAGGCGTGCCTGCTCTATCCTAAATCCATCAGCAGTCTGGAGGCAGGCGTTTTTCAGTCTGAGCCCCTGTCCTGAAAGCAGAACCTGACGGCCTCTGATGGCTATCTGTGTGACCCCCTTTCTCTGTGTGTGCGTATGCTTGCGCCTGTGTCCCAGAGACTTGGACACAGCTCTCAACCGAGAAGCTGTCAGGTGCTGCTTCCAAAAGAAGGAACAAATCTGTCTTGGAAAAAGTACAACCAGAATGCTCTTCAGACAAGATGATAGTGAGGCTGTATCCCTCGAGAAGGACCACATGCTCGGTAAAGTAGAGGGTTGGTGACCAAAAGAAAAAGGCCCTCAGGAGATGGGTTGACACAGTGGCGGCAACAATGGGCTCCAACTTAGCAATGATTGTGAGGGTGGCCGGGACCGGTCCGTGTTTCGTTCTCTTGTTCTACGTCACTATAGTTGGAACTGATTCCATGGCACCTAACAACGATAACTTACTTTGTCATGATAGTAAATGTGAAATGTCAGATAATGAGATAGTAAATGAGGACTATGTGTACTAGGTACATACAGCAGGATTGGTCAGCAGCCTAAGGTTATGCTTGAATTTTTGAGACCAGTCAGCACAGTTGTATGATTTTCTCCATTTACAAGCTCTGGTGGTATATAGTGGGTTATGTTTTAGGGCTGCTAACTAATTGCTAGGTCAGCAGTTCAAATACACCAGCCAGTCCTTGAGAGAAAGATGAGGCTTTCTGCTCCCACGAAGATTTATAGCCTTGGAAACCCACACGGGGGCAGGTATACGCTGCTCATAGGGCTGCTGTCATTCGGAATCGATGCCATGGAAGCGAGTTACGTATATCTCAGTGGGAACAGGTAGAATAGGCAGAGCATTACACCTAGCCAGGAATCCTGGCGTTGCCCCATAAGTAAGAAATTTAGAAGAGAGCAAAAGAATGGTTATTATGATGGGATACAGGAACTGAGGTTAATGAGAAGGGGAGGTAAAGATGAGAGTAAAAAGATGTAGGCTCAATGGAGTGTCGGCCCCATGTGGTTAAGAATTGTGATAATAACCAAACAAATAACAACTGTCATGCTTTGGGCTCATTTGCATTACAAAAGCCAATTATGTGAGGTGGGGTAGGTGGTAGCAAGATGATTCTCATTGTATAGATGAGGCAAGATCTGAAGAGGTAAATGACTTAATTTAAAATCACCCAGCAAGGAGCAAAGCACAGACACAACCCAAGAAGGTCTATTATATGTAGTCTTATCACCATAGAGTGTCTATGAGTCAGTGTCAACTTGATGGCAATGAGTTGGGTTTTTGGTGTGCATTACCACTTTGTGATATCTGCTCACAGATTGCTTAGTTTTGTAGAAGAGATGGAATGTAAATACAATATAAGAGAATGTGCAATGTGTAATCAAGTGTCCAAATTCTGTAGTGTGGAATGGGATCAGGAGTTTGTTCAGTCAGTAATACTCAATGAGCTTTTAGTATATAACAAGGCAATAGTATAAATACCCTATAGATAAATACCCCCCAAAAACCCTTAAGTTGTATGCTTCAGATAAATCTTGCGAGAACTTTTTCCCCAATTCTTCCAAGTTATCGTGGCTCGGTTTAAGAAAAAGAAAAAAAAAGCTGTACTGAAAATCAAAAAACTTGTTTTCATTAATTACTGCATGACATTATTGTTCCAACTCACTGTGTGTCAGTGTGGGTCCCAGTCTGTACACTGAGGAGCTGCTATGATTTGACAGGATTCACCTGCCTAAAAGTACTTTGGATTTGCATCTGTATTCAGCCAAAGGGAGCAGTTGCTATAAAGTTGTTGTAATTTTCATCTAGTCTCTTGGTAGAAAACGTTGGAATGAACCTATAGACACAACAAGTAGAAGAAGGGTTCCTGGGGTGTACGTAAGGGGGGAAAGGGGCGCTGATATCAGGGGATTCAAGAAGGAAGAGAATATTTTCAAACTGACTGTGGTAGCAATTGTACAATACTGCTTGATGTGACTGAACTATGGAATGATAAATCCTTATTAGCTCCTAATAAGATGATTTGGGGGGAAAAGTTGAAATACTGCTGGGTTCTCTAGAACAACAAAATCAGTGTGTGTGTGAAAGAGAGAGAGAGAGAGTGTGTGTGTGTGTGTAGAGAAAGAGAGAAAGAGAGAGATGGATTTCAAGAAAATGGCTCATGCAGCTGTGGAGGTTGTAAGTCCCCCAAACTTGGCAGGTCCTATAACAAGCTGTTGGCTCCCACCCCATAGCCAGAGTTTGGATAATGATGAGGCAGGTGCAGGATCAACAAAGAGAATGCATACTTAGGTAGAACATCCACAGATACTGGGTGCTGGCCACACCCCCCAAGGAAACTTCCCTTACGTCAGATCACAGAGTGGAGAATAATTGCATAAAATAGAGAACCACGGTCTAGCCAAGTGACGCATAATTACAATAACCGTCATAGCCACATCTTACTTGTTATTCACGAGACCCTATTTGTACAGTGAAATGCTACATGAATATGCATTTTAAAATCCTCCTCCGTTTTTGAAACTATGAGAAATACAAAAGAGAGACATAAGCCATGTTCAGCCGGCGTGCCAATTTTTCCCCATCCTCTACCTCGTCGTTTATAAAGATCTGTCCATTGCTTTGAAAACACTGACGACTCTTTTCTCCTCTTTTTACTCCTTTTGCATGGTATTCAGGCCTGGAAGAAACGCTGGTTTATCCTACGGAGTGGCCGGATGAGTGGTGACCCAGATGTTCTGGAATACTACAAGAATGATCACTCCAAAAAGCCCCTGCGGGTCATCAACCTGAACTTCTGTGAACAGGTGGATGCAGGCCTGACCTTCAACAAGAAGGAGCTGCAAGACAGCTTTGTGTTTGACATCAAGACCAGTGAGAGGACCTTTTACCTGGTGGCTGAGACAGAGGAGGACATGAATAAGTGGGTCCAGAGCATCTGCCAGATCTGTGGCTTCAACCAGGCTGAGGAGAGCACAGGTATGCGGCCCAGCACAGGCCTTTTTCAGAAGGGGTTTGGGGTGAGGTGAGTCTTAGAGGAGACCTGGAGGTTGGCTCTCAGAGTCCTTGAGCAGAGGGGGCAGGCTGTAGGTAAGCGTTCCTCTGCTCCGGAAGCTGTCTTTCCTCTTCGGCAGAGGAGGAAGAGGTGGAAGGTAAGAGCAGTAAAGGTTGAGGACCACTCTGCAAATAGGAAAATGAAGAGGGGCCCAAATATTAGAACTCCTGGTCCTGACTGTGCTCAAATGGGGAACCAAGAAATATGGGGGCTGTGATAAAGCATCAGGTGCTTCTTTTCAGGGACCGCAACGCCGTGCTCATTTCTCAGTTCTGCACCTCTCGCCGCTTCCCTTCACTCTCTCCTGCTCTGAATCCTGTTACCGTAGACCAGTCACATTTTGATCCCCTTTATGACCCGCCCCTTCCCTGTGCCCAATACTCCACCTATTACATACCTTCCTTAGAGAGCTACACACTTACATGTAGTCCTTTATTGTAAGGGCCCTTTGTGATGGTTACTGACATTCCCTCCAGTGTCCGTCATGGTAGGAGGGAGACTAGGAGAGTTTGGATTTGGACAGCTTTAATGAAGGAGCAGTTCAACTTTTTGAAATGACTTTTCAATTGCACAGAGCAAGGACTGGCAAACGTTGGAGACCAAAGAGCCAATCCTGTCCCTCACAACAATTTAAACATTATTTGAGAGCCATAAATAGATGTTTACAAACAAGTATCCTTTAACGGAAACTATGATAGTCTCGTTGTCATTTTCAGTTTTCCCTCAGAGCCATCTGTCCGTACCCAAAGAGCTGCATGTGGCTCTCGAGCCGCAGTTTGCCGCCCAGGCAGGGAGTGTTGCTTCACATCTGTTTGGGACGGATGTCGGCTTCTCTTGATGGTCGAGGCACAGGCTCTTGTCTGAGCTGAGTCGGTGGTCTAAATCAACTGCCATTCAACCTGCACGTGGGGGTTTTGAAATGCGGATGCCAAGGACCTATGCCACGTCAATTAGATTAGGTGGATCCTTAACAGCTTCTCTCTGAGTAGCCGGGATCAGCACTCACACACATTTTCTGTAAATATCTTAGACTTGACAGGTCTCAAATACAGTCTGTTTCATATTTGTATTTTTCTAGTGCTTTAAAAAACGTAAAAAGCATCCTTAGCTTATCAGAAGCATTGACATCATGTGTGGACTTGCCAGTAATAAATACTAGGATTCCACCCCAGGACTAGTGAATGAGAAACTCTGTTGGTTGGGCGTTTTTACACAACCGGCAAGTAAATTCTGATGCCAGATAAGGTTGGGGGACCACCTAGGTCTAGACTCTCGCTAGACAGAGAAAGTTTGGTGCACCTGCAAGGTCAGCCTTTCCTGGGGGCGTGTTAGAGATGCACAGATCTGAAGCGTCAGAACCTGCATATTTACAAAAACTTTCTCTTTTGTAATGGTTTTACACCTACAGACAAGTTGCAAAAATAGTGCAGCAAGATCCCATATACCCTTCACTCAGCTTTCCCCCATGTTAACAACATCTTACTTAACCACGGTCCAGTTATCAACACTAAGCTGTTAATACTGGTACAATGCTGTTAACCTGACTTGGCTTTGACCTGTTTTTCGTGTATCTGCTTGTTCTGTTAAAGACACGATCCAGGGTGCCACATTAGAGTTAGTTGTCCCGTCTCTGAGGCTTTTCCAACCTGGACATTGACACTTATATAAAGTACTCATGGGTACTTTGTAAACTGTCCCCCAATTTGGACTTGTCTGATTCCTTTGTCATGATTAGATTGAGGATTACCAGTCCTTAGAAGACAACATACTGGTAGCTGACAACAGTGACAAACCACAGCGATGCTGTGCCTATCTTGGCACATGGGATCAGGAAGCACCTGATAGCAGGATGCTTTCTTACCAGTCATGGTAACATTGATCACTTGGCAAAGGTGTTCTCTGCCAGGTTTTTCCACTGTAACATTACTATACTTGTTCTTGCCATTAATAAACACGTGGAGAAGATAATTGGATGATATGCACCCATTGTATTTCCCTAAAACTTGCCCCACTAATTTTAGTATGCATCAAAGGATCTTGTTGGCAGCATTTATTATTTAACAGCAGTTTTCTGTTTACCTGGATCTGTTTTCACCTGTTTTATCCCCAGGTGATAAGTGCACAATACTGGTTGACAAACTTTACGCTGGATTCATTGATCCCCAAGCCTGGCAGGTCATGAGTTTATGCTTAACTAACTAATAGGTGGTAATTCAGTAGAGTTGATTGGGTACTGAGGAGTCGATAGTTTATAAGAAAATTCTTTCCACAGAATGGGAGAAAGTGTTTTCAAATCATATAGCTGATAAGGTTCTAATATCCAGATTAGATAGGAACTCTTATGCCACCAATAGTAACTCCCCAAAAAAGAGACAACCCAATTTTAAATTGGACAAATGATTTTAATATAGTTCTCCAAAGAAGATACACAAATAACAAAAAAACACATAAGATACTCACATTATTAGCCATTTTGGGAAGTGCAAATCAAAACCACAATGAGATATTACTTCCGGCAAGGATAATTGTGGAAAAAAGAGAATGGGAACTTATTGGAATCAACATACATTGCTTGTGGGAATATGAAAATGGCACAGCTAATTTAGAAAACGGTGGTGGTTACTAAAAAATGTAGACATAGAATTACCACATAGCCGAAGTATAATCCCCAAGAGCTGCCAACCGTGTTCATACATAATCCTGTACGTATGTGCACAGCAGCACTCGCTTCCTAGAAGCCAGAAAGTGGAAACAACCCAAGTGTCCATCAACTGACAGATGGATGAACAACTGTATTATCTACATGTACATATGAGGGGGTTTCAAAAAGCCTGTGTAAAAATTGAGTTAAAAGATAAGGAAAGTTTACCCAAAACTTTTTGAAGTCTCATTGTATAATGAAATATTTTTCAACGAGAAAAAGGGATGAAGTCCTGATTTTTGGTCCCACATAGGTGAACTTGTAAAACATGATGCTAGGTGAAAGAAAATAGATAGAAATAAAACATGGATTTCATGACTTACATGAACTGTCCGGAATAGGAAAATCCATATAAACAGAAGATAGATTGTTGGTTTCCAAGGGTTGAGGTGGTGGTGGTGAATGGGGAGTGACTAACGGGTATGGGGTTTCTTTCTAGGGTGATGAACATGTTCTGGAATTAAATAATGGTAAGAGTTGTACAACGGTGTGAATATACTATGTGTTAGTCTGGATACTTTAGAGAAAAAAATCCACAGAAACTCATGTATAAGAGAGATTTTTATATAAAAGTTAAGTGCACATCAAGAAAACATCCCAACTCAGTGCTGCCCAAGCCCACAAGTCCAACATTAACCCAGTAACCCATATGTCCAACACAAATCCACAAAGTCCTCCTCCACCTCACAAAACAGACACAGTGATGCCGACTGCAAGAGGAAAGCCGAGTCAGTGAATGTGTAAGCACCTCAGCGCTGGCAGGGGTCTCCACACGGCTGCTTCAGCACTCAGGGCTGCATCCGGGTAGGTCCATGTGGTTTCTCCTCAGGGATGTCTTGCAGGAAGTGAGCCTTGCCAGCTGAAGCAGGGAACTTGCTAAGGCAACTGCACCCTGGTCCAACCGTCAGAAAGTAAGAGACCCGAGAACTAGAAAGGCGAGGCTCACCAAACCATTTATCCCTCCCCCCTTCAATTAATCTCACATGTGTTTATCGGCCAGGTTGGCACAATAAACTAAAGACCTCATACTAAAACAAACAATAACATGAATTCTTTACTTCTTAGTAAGTGGAAATTTTATGGGAGGAGAATATATTTCCATTAAAAAAAAAAGTTTTTCAGATGATTCTGCTAACCAGTCAGCTTTTGGCACCATTGGAATTAGGGCCAGCCTCATAATATCACATACAGGTAAAGCTGGGCTCATGATAATTCTAAAAATGGGTGCTGCAGTACATTGACAGGGACCTGCTAAAACTCAAGCTGAACTTAGAAGAAGGGATATCATTGCTGTCAGGTGAATCTGGGCTAACGGCAGAGAATACTAGAAAGATGTTTATTTGTGTTTTATTGACCATGCAAAGGCGTTTAACGATGTGGGTCATAAAACAAACTGTGGAGAACATTGAAAAGATGGGCCTTCCGAATCACTTAGTTTGATCCTGTGGAGCCTATACATAGACCAGAAGGCAGCCGTCCAAACAGAACAAGGAGAAGCTGCATGTTTAAAGTCAGGAAAGGTGTGTGTCAAGGTTGTACCTTTTCACCATACATATTCAGTATATATGCTGAGCAAATAATCTGAGAAATTGGACTACTGTATATGAAGAACACACACAACCGCGCTTGCTGCAGTTGAAGAGGACTTCAAGCACTTAATTGATGAAGATCAAAGAATAAAACCTTCACAAGGGATTGCAACTCAACATAAAGAAAACAAACAGCCCTCAGACCTGGACCAATAGGTTAATAACGTAAACAGAGACTAGATTAAAGTATCAAGGATTTTGTTTTACTTGGATCTAAAATCAACACACATGGAAGCAGCAGTCAAGAAACGAAACAACTTCTCTCTAGAGTTTAAGAGCAGGAATGTCATTTAGAGGACGAAGGTGTATTTGACCCAAGTCTTGGTATTTGTAAGCACATCACGCACATGCAAAATCTAGGAATAAAGAAAGAAAACTGAAGATTGATCAGTGCCTTTGAGTTATGGTGTTGGTAAAGACTACTGAGATAACACGAACTGCCAGAAGAAGCAACCAATCTGTCTTGGAAGAAGTCCAAACGGAATCCTCCTTAGAAAGGAGGATGCCAGGCTTTGTCCCACGTGTCTCAGACCTGTGACCGGGTGAGACCAGTACCTGGAAAGGGGCACTATGCTTCATAAAGTTGAAAGTCATCTAAGGAAGGGGAAGACCCTCGTGGGCTGGACTGGCAAAG